TCGCTGGCCTGAGTCTTTCCACTGCCAACCGGCCCATCTGTGGCAGGGAGGGCCTGTATCCTGGGTTGGTGAGGTGAGGCATTGCTTCTGGGCCATAAGGGTGGCCGCGTCCCTGCCTCTCCCTGTCTGGTGCCTGAGCAGCCTCGTCCATCTCCTGAGGACTCTGCGGGGAATAGAGAGGGGCTCCTTGTGGAGTGCAGCCCTGATTTTTTCCCCAAGTGATGTCTTGGCTCTAAATAACATCTCTAGGATTAATGCTGCCGGCAGCCAACAGCACCAGGTGATTGGAAAAAGGGTTTTATGGCCCCGTGGGTGAAATTGAACTTGCATCCGAAGTGTATTTCCAAGATGGGATTTTCCTCCCTGGCAGAGGTGGCACATTTCACACTAATTATAATGGCAGCTCCTCAACACTCATCACCCACAGTGAAGGGGGACACCCGTCTGGGGCACAGAGGCAGGTGTCCCTGGGGTTACCTCCAGGCCACCTAATCTCAGCAGACCTGGGGAGCTGGTTCTGGGAGATGTGCCCTCACCCAGTTGGGGGCCAGGCAAGGGGGAGAGGGAGCCCCCAGAGCACAAACAAGCCCCAGCTGGGCCACAGTAGGGAGGAGGCCGGAAGGAGACTGTGGGTAGGACCCAGCTAGTGCCTGCCCTGGGACCTGCAGACCCCTCGCTGAGCAGACTCCAGGGAGGGGCCTGGCCCATCTTGTTGCAAGGGTCTTTATGGGGGTGGGCATTGTGGCTTGGGCAGGGGAAGGCCAGGGAAAGTCTCAGGGACTGAATGCCATGGGCATCCTCCTTGGGCCCCTTCTGTCTCAACAGCAACCCACGCTTCTGCTTGACTGAACTGGAACAGAGGAAGCAGGCGGGGGTGGGAGGAGGGGCAGAGGGGCCGCAGCCACCTCCACCTAGGCAGGAGCACAGCCTCCCCTCATCCCTAGAGCGAGGGGCCACCCAGAGGAGACCCCCTCCAGTGCCCCAAGGGGGCAGCTTGGGGTTGGGGCTGGGCACTCAGCCACAGGGGCCTGAGAGCATTCAGTGTGCAGAGCCTGCTCCCATGAGGTGGTCAGAGCCTGCTGCACTGGCCTCCTGCCCCAAGACTCCGTGCTCATCTGTGAAGCGGGGGACTCAGTGCCTGCTGCACAGCGGGCTGCAGGGCAGAGTGACAGGACACAGTGAGGGGCCGTCAGGCGCTGCCTGGTGAGAGCTGTGGGCTGGCCTTGAGAGGTAGCCTGACTGTGTCCTCTTGCTGAGAACAGTGGGAAGCAAGCCGAGAGCTTGGGCCCATAGTGATGGTCTTAGGCTGCCGTGGTCACATGATGCCACCTCCCAGGGCCTGCTGTACCACCCCTGGGCTCCCCAGACAGCCATCCGTGTGGCCCATCCTGTCCTCTCCGGGCCCCTCTCAGTGGAGTGTTTCCTGTGGCTCCCTGAGGCTGCTGGTCATGGGACAGAAGCTGGGGCTGATGAGGACACTGGAGACGGCCGTGGGGCTGGGCGGGGGCCCTGCGGGAGCACCACGGCCTGGGATCTGCAGCAGGCACAGCAGGGCACTGGTGCCACCTCTCACGTGTCAGGTGCTTCGCAGCCTCCCACTGCAATCCTTCCAGCAGGCCTCGGTGCCAGGGTGGGCCCCATCCCTGGATGCTGGACCACTGAGGACCAGCATCGGCCACAGGGCTCAAGAGCTTGGCCATCCCGGGGCCCGGTGGGAGCAGCTGGAGGGAGGGTTCAGTCACCCAGGCCTGCCCAGAGCCCTGCTCAGGGCCCAGGATGAACTGATGGGGGCAGCCCACAGGCGGTGTCGCTAGAGCGGGGCTCCCCACAACAGGGTGGGCCCCAGGCAGCCTTACCCCGAGCAGGGAGGAAATGTGTGGAGGTGCAGGAAACCGCTCCCATGTCCAGAAAATATTAACAACTAAAAATTTTAAATGTTGGTGACATTCCCGATGGCCAGATAAGAGCAGTTAATAATGACTCAGTGATTAATAACTGCACTTAATAGTTTTCAAAGTAATTGTGATAAAGAGAACGTTAAATGAAAACCCATCAAAGTTGCTGATGCCCTGTGTGGTGAGGGCACCTTGGTGCTGGGCGTGGCCACGTCAGCTGGGCAGAGACTGGCCCCCCCGGGCCCGCCGTGTCCTGGTGCCACGTGTGGGGGGTTATTACCCGCACTTGGAGTGTGAGGACTCCCTACACACGTGGGGTGAGGACCCTGCACGCATGTGCAAATGCAGGGGTCTCTCCTAGTACTGGGCCAGGTGGGTAGAGTCTGAGTCTCTTCCTGTCCCACTGGGATTGTGGATAGTCATGGGGTTGGCTTAGGCCTTGTGCATGTAGGTGTTCTGGATATCTGGGCTAGTGGGTGGGGGTATCCTCTGCCCCGTGGGCTAGGCTCTGGTTCTTCTATTGCCCCAGCCCCTCCAGGCCTTGGGTGAACCCCCTCCACCATCCAACTTGACCTGCCATGTTTCTGGAATGCATCCCAGGGCTACTCCATTCACCAGTTCTCACTAAAGTGTGAGTGGTTGCTTGGTGCTCCCCTAATCCTCACTGCCACATGTGATTATTGATGTGAACCCTTCAGCTGCAGGGGGATGAAGAGTTCGATCCCAGGCAGAGCAGGCCTGCTCCCCCTACCCTCAGGCTACTGACTCTGTGGCCCTGCCAAGTGGCTGGGAGCTGCCAGGAGCCCAGGTGGGGGCAGGACCCGGGAACTGCTGCCCCTCACATAAGCCAGTTTCTTTGATCCTGGTTCCCTGCCCTGTGTGGCCTGCCTCCCAACTGACACCACCATGCAGTTCCCTCACCTCATCCTCTGAGTAGGACCAGCGTGAGTTGTCACGGCTCCTGGACCCCTGGAAGCCGCTTGGTCCCCTATCAGGCTGAGGCTGTCCAGACATAGCCTGCCATGAGACCCTGAGTGAACCCGCTGGCCTGGACACCAAGGATAAGGGACCCTGGGACTTTGCATCCCAGGGAGGCTGGGTGCTCACCCACAAAGCCCTAGAGGGGAGAAGGGGAGAGAAAGTTGGTCCTGGTGGGGCCAGCCACAGTGGCCATCCCTACAATCCTGGCACTCTGGGAGGTCGAGATGGGAGGACTGCTTGAGACCGGGAGCTGGAAGCCAGCCTGGGCAACATAGAAGACCCTGTCTCTATGAAAAATAAAGCAGCTGGGCATGGTGGCAAATGCCCGTCGTCTCAGCTACTCAGGAGGTGAGCCCAGGAGTTGGAGGCTGCAGTGTCATGATCGTGCCACTGCACTCCAGTCTAGGTGACAAATTGAGAGCCAGTCTCAAAATTAAAAAAAAAGAAAAAGAAAAGAGAAAAGAAGGAAGGGCTCCTGGGTCACCCTGGGGCCACGCGGGGAAGGGAGGGCTCCGGAGGCCACCGTTCTGTTCTAACCACAGGGGTAATGACAACTTCGGGCAGGACCACTGGTGGCGCGGAAATCACCGGGCGAGAGGCTGATGCAGATGGCCTGCGGCTGAGCTCAGCTTCCCCACAAAGTCCTGATTCCAGAGAGAAGCAGGTGTCCTCCCGGGGGAGAGCCCTCGGAGCTCAGCCCATGCGGAGGAACACGTGGTGCCCCTGCTCAGCTGCCGTTCCCCAAGTCACCAGGAAATGCAGAAACGCCGAGGCTGGGGGGAGGTTGGTGGCTACTGCTTCCCTTGTTCAGACATCCCCATCCCACAGTGATGGCAAAGATGGCAGTGACCATGGGGCAGGTGAGAGCCCAGTGGGCTGTGGGCCAGGCAGGTGTGGTCCCATCCTCAGTTTCCCGAGCCTGGCAGGGCCAGGGCAGGGCAGATGGGGCTCTTAGGCTGCTCTTGCACTTTAAGGTTCAAGGCACAAGATTTTAAAAAGGAGGCACCTGGAGACGTGAAGGCCCAGGGTGGCAGCCCCGTGGAGCGGGCCAGTGGGGGCCTTCCCAGCGCTCACACAGATGGGCTCTGCGGGCTCTGGGCTGGGCAGGTGTGGTACCAGCCTCAGGTGCCCGTCTCCCACTTCAGGGAGCTCTGCCTCCCTAATGGCCTCTGTTTCAAGGTCATTTCTGGATGGGCAAACTGAGGCCCTGATGGCTGGGGCTGTCCGAAGTCCTAGAGGCCAGTGTTGGAGGTCCCGGGCACTTAGCTCCTGCGGCCCCCACTGGCCCTCAGGTCCAGGACCTCTCGCCCTCCAGCCTGGGGGCACTGTGCTGGGAGAGTGCCCCGACGGGCATTTCCACGTTATCTGTGCCCAGCTCTGTGTTCTGGAGTCAGGGCTCTGGGGCGGTTTTCCTCTGGGCCTGGGTGCTCACTGAGGCTCCTCCAGTGGGGCCCTGCCACCTGCCTTGTGTGCCTGCAAATGTCCTTCCCATGTGAGCATTGGTGCCATGCCCTGACCCCTGGGTGCTGCCATGGGGTAGGTGTCCCGCCCTGCTATCCCCACCCCCCCGCTCCCCATCAGCCCAGCTGAGCTGCTGCCCCGAGCCCACCTTCCTATGCCCCAACTGGCTCCTGGCGCCTGGCATCAGCCTGGGAGGGACTCCTGAGACACCTATGGGGCCTGGGACAGGGATGGAAGTCCAGACCTCTGGGGAGGGTGGGAGGGCTGGTTTCGGTC